TGTGTCAGAAGCACTTATTTTCGTTAATGTTTAGATTGTTTAGATTATTTCGATTTTTTTTTTTTTTTTTTACTACAAGAAAGAATTTTGAAAGTGCATAAACTTTTGCTTAATAATTATTTGAATTTTTTTATAATTATTTGAATTTTTTATTTTGAAGAAAAACTAATTATGTTTTTGATTTTGTGGCTGCGGTGGCATGATCTAATTGAAGATAGTATTTTATACGACCAATCACAACTGGTGGGGAAAATTAGGGCTCCCCTTAGTATCTGGGTTTACCAATTTCTCTCAACTTCCCATTGGTAACGCATTAATTAGCCCAAGTAATTTGCACAATAATTCAGTAATTCAGTATATATGTACGTAATTCAGAATCGATCTGTGAATTAATAATAAACCATGATTAACTATCAAATACATTTTGCAGGAGATGAATTTTAAGGTGGGAAGATGGGTTTGACGTGATAAACTATATTAGTTTTATTCGATTTGGGGATCATTTTAATTCAGCTTCTTAATTTAGGCCCAATTCCAAAATGCGCCGTAATGAATAAATTTAAAATTCCATTTCATACTTAGAATCAAATTATGCCGATTCTAAATTTACAAATATTTTAATCTACCAGGTGTTTGTTAAGTCCCTAGGCAAGACTTTTTTTATATCTTCACTCATATTAGTTTTTTTTATTTTATACCTGTATTTAATGATTTATTTGCCTAATTACTTAATGCTCAATAAAAAGATCCAGTGCATAAACTAATAAAACACCTGCTATATTTACATAAATAACACATAACTTGCAATTTCTTAGTCACTTAAAACTCCCAGCTCTTTATAGTGAAACCCTTGTTAATGAAGAATAATTGTCAGCCAGTACTACTTGGTCACGTTACACACGTAGTAATTCTTATGTTCATTAAATTTATACGTATTCATTATGAAGTAGTCGTTTAGCACAAGAAACGTACATTCTTATATACAACTTCAAGTAAATAAAACAGCGGATGAATCGATCATTCGAGAATTGCAAACTTTATACGTATTGTAAATTAATTCCAAATATATTTTCATAGTAAAAAACAACTATTCTATTTAACGTACATAATATTACACATGCATTGCATTCACCAAAACAACTACGTCCCTTTAGCAGAAAAGATTAATCCCACTTCAAAGGGGACATTTACTTGCTTAGGAACCTTTGATCATTTCTATTCATATTACTTGCACCTAACAATTCTTGCATTCGACGTTGTGTCTAAATATACAAAATTAATAAAGTTATTATTGTATACTACAACGAACCAATGGTAAAAAAAAGTCCGCTATATAAAAATTACTATATGGTTTTATAAGAGCCCATTACACTTTCTACAGTCAACTCTTTTTAAACCGAACAGCAGGTTCTTATATGTAAAAATTTCAGTTTACAAAGAGTTATTATGTTGCTAATCCTTAATAATAAATTTTACAAATGTTCTGAAGCTTTATGTACAGTTTTCACAGAGTTTATTATGTGTTCAGTTTATCCAGGTTCGGTTTAAAGAGAGTTAACTGTATATAGTTTTGGAAACTTATATTTCATTACATCCATAGGTCCGTTATAGAGATAATCAATTTCATAGTATAACAAAAAAAAACGTAGATTGTAATAATACCTGTGCATTCGTATAATGAAAAACAGCTTCGTTGACCCAATCTTGCTTATAAAATTCAGATTTTCGTTGTTCCTCGAGGTTAACTTTACTTTCACCCAAAATGACCTACAATTATATAAATAGAAATTATTTAGTATACTAAATCTAAGTCCAATTATTATTGATCAAATGTCGGAAATAAAAACCTCTAAATCGCGGCTTTGACTAGCAATCCATTTATTAATAAAGTCTACCGGCGAGTTCGCAAAATTTAGCAAAAAGTCACGTTTCGTCTTAGAATTATTAATGCTTTGTACACATTGAACGATCTACAATAGGTAGGTACTATTAGTATAATAGTTTCGTGAATGTTAATTGGAATAAGAATGTTTCAAACCTTGTCGTCTAAATTATGTATCTCTTTTTGATTAATTGAATTTGACGCAAGCGCAGCAAGTCTCATTTTGTTTGGATCATCAAGTTCAACTTCAATGTCATACGCATATCGCGACTGATGAAACTCTTTATCAACTCTTGTTTAAAAAATAAGTAAACGTTAGCCCTTGTAAAGATAATAATCAAAACTATTTCACACAATTGTATTAACGAATACATACCGAATTGAATATTCTATTACTATAGGATCAACGGGTGCCAAATGCTTGCTTATTAATTCTGGAATTTGTGGAAAAGCGATCCGTGGAGCGTTAAAAATCTAAAATCACATTATTAGACATAGGTTCTAATTCGATATTTCTACAAACGTTGTGATATTTAAGAAATTTTTACCCCGTATAATCGCATATCATTGTTAATTATCCGTTTATCCTCATTATCTTGCAAATTGTTATGCTAGAACAAAATTCCAGTAATAATATCACAGTTAAAGGTATGCACACATTAAAATTTAAAAAGGTATATATTAAAATAATATACTTTTATATACTGCCATAAAGCCATAATAACGCCTTGTCTTGTTTCCTCTTGTATATCCAAAATACTTTCTAATTCAGGTGACAATTTATATCTTGGTGGTTGTTGATCTAGATTGAGATATATTTTTACTTTGAGATTTGCATCTCCTTTACGTTTTATCTCAAATCCGTCAACATCATCGAAGTCGGGGGATTTGTTCCACTATGTAATTAATTATCAAAGCTAATGGTTAATGTTTGTTAAATGTACAAAACACAAGCTCCCTAGCTTCTTACTTCAATTAAATTGCCTTCAGGAAACATTTCTGGATCTCTATCTAACTCAACGATTATGGACTTAAAAAAATGAGAAAATTTTCGAGTAGGCGGCCTAGTGTTTTTCGCATTTATAGGCTAAATTAAATATTGTTTTTAAACAAACATAATGTAAGATCATATAAATTACAAAATGTATGCGACAATACGAAATAAACCAACTTACGTCAAGTAACCTTCCTTCAATCCTTAACGTCCAGGCCGGGAAGTTACTATTATAATCAATCTCATTTCCTTCAGCTTCTTGTACAGGTTGTTGATTACATGATGTATTAGATATAAATACCCGGAGGGTACGCTTAACCTATTAATAATATTTAATTATGTGTTAAAAACAATTCAATACGATGATCGCGTACTATTGCAAAAAAAAAAAAAAAAAAGTACAAATTTAATACCTTCATTGGCTTCGATAAGGATTCTGTTATTTCTAATTTTTTTCGGACAATTGTCGAATCCAACTTTCTTTCAAACTCTTGGAGTTCTGTATATAGCCGTGACTCTGGGACGAGTGTATCGAGCTAGTGCGAAACAAAGAAATTTTAGCTTTATTTAAATAAGTGATTCTTCTACCTCAAATCAAAATACATACTTTTTCTGGGATGTTTCGGTCAATCGCTCGCTTTTTTCTGCTCAAAAAAATGTTAATTTTCCAAGTCGAAACAAAATGATCTAGATGAAAACCTTGAACTTACTTTACTTGTGGATTCATTGAATTAATCGCAGCAGCTTCTGGGATAGCACGTTTTCGTACCACTGTTGCAGGGTTAGACACTCCTGCTGGCGGACCAGCATTATGAATTGGACGAGGTTGAGTAGGTGCATTCATCATTAACTGCAAAGAAGCAAAGTTTTAAATTGTTAATATATTATAAATTAAGTGTTAATAAATTATATATGCTCTTTTAAGCAAATGTCAAGTTAATATATCAACTTGGGATTATATCCATTAAATACAGAGCATATGCACGTATACGCAGGTTACACTAAGAAAAAGCCGAGCTTCCGGTGCAAATGGTGTACTATCCAAAATGGGCACGATAGAACAAGATCATACTGCCGTGACTTTTAACTTTGACGAGCATGCAGGAACTCGACGCGAGAAAATAATTCTTTGTGAACAACGAACCTGCGATTGCCCAATCGGATACTGCATTCGAGGATACTGATACGGAGCTGGCTGAACACCTCTCGGTGCAATAGGCTGTGTAGCATATTGTACAGGATAGCCTGTGACGTTCGGCACAAATGGTCTTTGTTGTTCGTTCATATTCATAGCGGTCGTTAGTTTTCTCCAGACAAGAAAGAGTGTATGATCGTCGGCCTGATCGAAATAGGGTGTTCAAAAAGTATAAATAAATAAAGTCACATGGAAATGCTTATTGTCTTTGTAATTTGATTGGCGTACCATATTACACAATTTTTGATAACTGTCCAATATCAGAGAAATGTAATCCGTGAGCTAAAACACGCGAGAAATGAATTCTGAAATAAATATAGTAAGTGGCGAAAAGCGCAGCTATGAAGAATCTGAATTCGAATCCAAAAGGCCTCGTCTTGATAACCAATCAACAGCCGATTCGAGTTCAAGCTCCTTATATTTAGATACTGTGAGTCTTTATTCGCTCATATTTCCCAAATAGAACGCGAAATCATCATATTTTGATTAACTCGTATATACTCAGATAAATCGTCATATGTTGGACTTTGATTTCGAAAAAGTCTGTTCTGTCTCTTTATCAAATCTAAATGTATATGCTTGTTTAGTATGCGGTAAATATTTCCAAGGTAAGAAATAGATCGATTGAATTTTCGTAGTTTTCAATAAATTCGCTTTCGTTAACACGTACAGATTTCAATAGGGCGCGGGCGTAATTCGCACGCTTATTTCCATAGTCTGCACGAGGACCATCATGTTTTTATCAATTTGCACACATTACAAGTATGCTGAAACCAATTTATCATTTAGATATTGTAAGCTTCAAATTTTAATTTGTTTTCTCCTTATTCTTTTAGGTGTATGTTTTGCCTGATGGATATGAGGTCAAAGATTCTTCCTTGAATGATATAAAGGTATGATGTTCTAACGCGTATTTTCATGTTTCACTACAAACCACAAAAATATACTTATCATATGGGATCAGTATGTACTTCATCCAACGTTCACCAAAGAACAAGTTGCTCTGCTAGACCAGAATACAAAACATTCATATGATTTAAATAATAAGAAATATTTGCCAGGTAATGTACAAATTGACCATTAAAACACATCATTTATATATTCTCATTGATTACTTTTTTTCTCTTTAGGCTTTGTGGGCCTTAATAATGTAAAAGCCAATGATTATGTTAATGTAGTAATACAAGCATTGGCGCATATTCCTCCGCTTAGAGATTATTTCATATTGCAAAATTTTGAAAATAGTTCCCAGTTGGGTAATCATTTATTTCTGATTATCTTATCTGTCATCAAACATTTCTATTCGATCTAAGTTTCTGTGCTTGTTAGTACAACGATTTAGTATTCTTGTTCGCAAAATTTGGAACCCCCAGGCATTTAAGGGCCAAGTTAGTCCTCACGAACTACTTCAAGAAATTTCAAATGCCAGTAATAAAAGATTCAAACTTGCTGAACAAAGTGATCCAATTGATTTTCTGTGTTGGTTTTTGAATTCCCTGCATAAAGATTTAGGTGGCACAAAGAAACAAAACAGTAGTATGTGTGACATAAGTCTGGTTTATAAGGATTTAATGGTTATTAAAGAATAAAATATTTATTAAAATATTCTATTTCTGTTCTTAATTCAATAAAAATTTTTTAGGCATAATTCACAAAATATTTCAGGGTGAAGTCAAGGTAGAATCACAGATGATTATTGCGAAACCGGATGTAGATATCGATGAAAAAGATCGATCGTTTGATGATGATAGAGGTTGTATATCATATTACACTCACTGTTTAATTAGAAGCAATTTCTTAACTATTCAACTCGATAATTTAGAGATTGTAACAAAAAGGTCACCATTTCTCTTATTAAATTTGGACTTACCTCCTCCTCCATTGTTTCAAGATGAGGTTGAAAAGAACATTATTCCACAAGTAAATATATTACCATTTATTGGCTTATTGACCTTTTTTTCACAGCATTCTTCACATTATTTCTTCATTATTTCACATACTTTTATATTCTAGGTTGCTTTGACAATGATACTATCGAAGTACGAGGGTCGCGCACCTCAGGTAATAGACAACGTTAATCAATAATGCTTTTTGATGACGTGCTTATATTAATTCAATAATATTAGGAATCAGCTGGTACTTTAAAAAAGTCACAATTGGTACGCCTACCCAATTACATCATATTTCATATCAAACGCTTCACAAAAAATAATTGGGCCGCAGAGAAAAATCCAACAATCGTCAATTTTCCTATTAAAAATCTTGATATGGGAGAATGTTAGTATCCATAAATGTGTATTCATAGTTACTAATTTTTTAAATTAAACCTATTGTTTATTGATATCAATTTTTTAGACTTAGAAAGCTCTAATGCTGAAAAACTTGGCACTCATTATGACCTAATCGCCAATATTTGTCATGAAGGTAAGCCGGGCAAAGGTAATGGTATTTATAAGGTGCATGTTCAACATCGTGGCAAAGATCAATGGTACCAGATTCAAGACTTAATCGTTGAAGAAATTAATGCACAAATGATCTTTCTATCCGAAAGTTATATCCAGGCAACGTTTTTTAATTTAGAAATCTAAATTGAATGAAAGCTTTTCCTTAAGTTATTTACATTTTTTTGCTTTTTTTTTTTTTTTTTTGTAGATATGGGAACGAAAAGAGGTGATCCTGGCCAATAATGAAAAAAGCTAATTTTCGGCTTAACCGGTCGATTTTTCAAAATCAACCGATAATTTATGCATAGCTATGATTACAAAAAGTTTATCGATATTTTTTTACATATGCAGTCAGACTTCCATAATTGCACCACCTATATAACGGACTTAAAATTTTAAAATCTATTATATAAATCCGTTATATAAATATTAGTAAAAAAAGCTATATAAAGGATTTTATCAAGAAAATTAATTATAAGACCCAAAAATCTGTTATATAGATGGTATAAAAAAAATGACATTAACCAATCAAATTGCAGCATTAGTTACAGCCAATAGAATTGCAGTTTAATCTGCTTGGAGTGGCCTAATTGCTATTTTAATCACTCATATACTATTTTAGACTATTGCTAACTTGCCACTAGTTACGTCACCAGGGTGCTATATCAAAAAAAGCGTAATAAGCGAATGTTCAGGACTCACGAAAACTGGCAATCGATTAAAAATCGATTATAGTCAACTAATCGATTAACCAATTATATAGTCAATTAATCAATTAGTTATTCAATTAATTGGCAGTCGATTAGTCATAAAATTATCAATCGATTAGTTGCCAATTCGATTAATTAATCGATTTTTGATTTAGAACACTAACCGTAGATATAGGCCCTATATCTTCAGTAATATATATTATATACTGTATATTATACTAGGAAATGCATAGCATTGTGTGTCCGAAGCTAAATAGTGAATTGTCAATAAGCTCGTGATTGAAAACCAATCAGAGATGCGGAAACGAACAGACGGAATTCACGTGACATCAATGATCAAATAAACCTATGTAATTATACCACAAAAAATTTTCCGGTCACATGACTTTATCGTGGCGCAAACCAATTGAATTTCAG